TAAGCCAAAAAAAAAAAAAAAAAAAAAAAAAAAAAAAGGGAAAAAAAAAAACAAAAAAAAAAAAAAAAAAAAAAAAAAAAAAAAGGAGAAAAAAAAAACCAAAAAAAAAAAAAAAAAAAAAAAAAACAACCCAGAAAGTTAGAGGGAAACAGAAAAGTTTAGGCAGGGAGCAGATGAAGGGTTAGTACCTTCAGTACTTCCTGAACTTTCTCAGCCACTTGTACCATGGTGGTCAGAATTGATTCACTGTAGAGTCGCTGTAGGGAACAGGTAGGAATCAGAAGCCAAGAGAAAGAGGACAGTGGATTGGGGTCGTGGGGCTCTCGGGGTTTCCAAAATCAGCAGCCATGGTCTGGGAGAGCAGAGGTTAAGGTGGGGTTGGGGTTGGCACCTTTATTTGTAGTATGCAGGGATGAGTCTTTGTCACCTGGTATGTGGGTGTGACTCTTGGAAGATCTCAGCCTCACATTGCCCCAGCAATTGAACAATTTTCTGGGCATCTGCTTTGTCCAGGTCCTGGGTCAGTGGATTTGACTTCTCTGTGATTGGCACAGCTGCCTCATACCCAGACAGCTAGAGGGGAGAGGGGTTAAGAATGGAGGCAGGAAGCCAAAGCCTCATTCATGCCCACTGGAGGTGGCAGTGGTAGCACACACAGTATTTGGACTTATACACACACACACCATGCACTCCCGGAATTTATTGGTACTCTGAGCCTGTTAGGGAAAGAATATTAGGAAGGAAGACAGGAAGAAAGAGGGGGGTGAACAGAAATCCAGGGTGGAGGGAAGTCCAGATGAAAAATGTTTCTAGGAATTAGTGCAGAAGGCCAACATGGAGAAGGGGTCTTACCTCCCACTTGCCAGGCTCCAGGGTTTCAATCACATGTTGAAACCGTTTTGTGCCTGGCATGGTCCTCTGCTGTGGACACACTGTCCTCCCTGCCTCTTCAGCCACACAAACCCCTCTGGTCACAATGACTTGCTTCCAGCTGGCAGGGCTTTATCTGAGCCTCAGTGATGATTAATTCAAGAACTCTGGCCTCTCTGAGTACCACCCCCTGCACCTCTGCCTGCATCACCCATTCCTGGTTGCTAAACCCCCAGCCTTCTGGTAACCCCAGGGGAGCCCCCGAGGTTTCTCTTTGCATGCATCCTGACTTGCCAGCCTCTACTTTGCCCCATGAAGAGGATGACCTGAGGTTGATTACTCTTGCCCCTCAGGCACAATGTCCTCTTACCTGGAAGACCCGGAGCCTGGGAGTGCAGGATAACACCCAGGCCAGTGAGAATCCCAAGGCAAGAGTGCTCTGGACCAGGATGCCTCAGGAGGCCAGAGATCAGGGTCCTCAGGTCAGCAGAAGTCAGAGGACCTGGCCCATGGCTTGATCACATGCTCAGCACACACAGTCCTCCCCTGCCCCACTGGCCCCATTTTACCCTCTCCTCTCAGAAAGGAAGACAACAGAGGCTTCAGAGCCCTAGGTGTGCACACACTGAACTGGATATTACAGGGGGGAAGATGCCACAGAAATAGAAATACTGTAATAAGAATTAGAAGCCAAAGAATCTGCCCTAAATACAATGTTAGCTGACATTTATTTACGCTGAACAATGCACTTTTCACATACAATATCTCATTGGATACATCAACACTAATAAGTCAGTATTGACATTCTCATTTTTTTTTCTTGTCCAAAATTTATTTTTTATTTAATATTTTTCATATTTTTCTATTTCCTCAGCATTTCCATATGAATTTAAGTTCCTTACATTAATAGGTTTTCCCTTATGTGAATTCTCTGATGTTGACTAAGGTGTGAGCTCTGACTGAAGGCCCTCCCACACTCACTGCATTCATAGGGTTTCTCTCCAGTGTGGATTCTCAGGTGCCGAATAAGGTGTGAGCTTACTCTGAAGGTTTTCCCACATTCAGTACATTCATAGGGTTTCTCTCTGGTGTGAATTCTCTGATGCAGGATAAGATGTGAGTTCAGGCTGAATGCTCTCCCACATTCTTTACATCCAAAGGGTCTTTCCCCAGTGTGAATTCGCTGATGTCTAATAAGATCTGAGCTCCCCCCAAAGCCTTTCCCACACTCATTACATTCATAAGGTCTCTCTCCAGTGTGGATTCTCTGATGCCTAACAAGCTTTGAGCTGTGCCTGAAAACTTTCCCACACTCATTACACTGATGGGTTTTCTCTCCACTGAAAATTGCTGCATGTTTAATAAGGTTCTGGCTCTTGAAAGATTTTCCATACTGGTGATTTTTTTCTTCAGCATAAATTCTTTGATGCTTAATAAAATCTGAATTCCATTTGAAACTCTGGTCATAGGTACCATGTTTACAAGATTCTGGTGTGTGAATTTATTTGTGTTCAGATTTAAGCTTCTCTCACATCCATCATGGCTTACTATTTCATCTGTGAGTATATTTTTGTGGGTTAGGATTTTACTAAAACCTCCATCGTGGGCAGATGATGGTCTCCAAGACTCCCCTGGTTCTTGCTCCCACTGCCTCTTTATCCTGCCTGCAGCCTCTTTATCCTGCCTGCGGACTTACAGATGTCTGGAGGCTCATCAGATCCTTCTGACACATATCCTGAGATTCTTCCTGATATAATTCTCTGTGATTCCATATTTTCATAAATGTCCAGCTTTGGCATGGATCCATTGTTTTTACTTTCATTATCACAGTCCAGTAGGAGCTGGGGTTCTGAAGAACCATAATGGGCCTTGGTCTCTGTTGGCTGGAACGGGACACTAAGTGCTGGCCCAGGAGGTGATACCTTTTTCCTGAATATTTCTTGTCCATGTCCATGTGCTGAAACCTGGTGTACTGCTTCATCAGTGCCTCTCTCCAAATCTTCCAGTATGGTTACTGCCTCCTCTCCACTCTCTGGGTAATGTTCACGCACCCAGGCCTGCAGATCTCCTGGCAGGATGGTCAGGAACTGCTCCAGCACCAGCAGCTCCAAGATCTGCTCCTTGGTGTGGGTCTCTGGCTTCAGCCACTGACAGCAGAGCTCCCGGAGCCGGCTCAGTGCCTTGCGGGGTCCAGGAGAATCCTCATAGCAGAACTGCCTAAAAAGTTGTCGGCAGAGCTCCTGCCTGAGGGGATCGCTTCTCTGTACACAAGTGTCCTGCCTCCAGATAAACCCTTCCTCTTCTACCTTCACTATCAGAAGTCCATCATTCTCTGGAAACGGGGCGCCCGGGCATGCGGGGGCGGGAAGGCGTGGGGAAAATGGGGCTGCCGTGGGCCGTGCGGAGCCGCGGAGAGCTGCTGCCCACCGGGCGCTCCGGGCCGCCTTTGACTCCGCACAACTCCTGCCACCTCCAGGAGCCCCGCCTGGATGTCAAACGGATGCCCCAGTGCCCTCCAGCGGACTCGGTGGGGACCATGGCTTCGCTGATGCCCCTCTCCCCATATCTAAGCCCCACGGTCCTCCTGCTGGTCAGCTGTGACCTGGGCTTTGTGCGAGCAGGTGAGTAAAGAGGAATGGGGGCGCGTCAACCGGAGCTAGTCTGTGGTGAAACCTGTTAACCTGTGAACACCCTGGCACCCACAGACCGGCCTCCTTCTCCTGTGAATGTGACGGTCACTCACCTCAGAGCCAACTCGGCCACTGTGTCCTGGGACGTCCCAGAAGGCAACATCGTCATTGGCTACTCCATATCCCAACAAGTATGAATCACCCTTCTGCTCCCCCAGCCTGTGTCCTTGGATCTCTGAACATTCCTTCAGTTTCCTCCCCCTTTTAAACTCCCCTCCTTGAGATGGAGGAACCTAGGAGCTGGTGTTTCCTGGGTCAAGCTGCCCTTTTCACCCTCCTGCCTTGGAGTGCTTGGATATTCAGGAGTCCTGGGTTGAGCCTTGTGACCTGGGACTGGGGTGAGGCTGCCCTCCTGTCCCATCGTCTCCCTGCAGCGGCAGAATGGCCCCGGGCAGCGTGTGATCCGGGAGGTGAACACCACCACTCGGGCCTGTGCCCTCTGGGGCCTGGCTGAAGACAGTGACTACACAGTGCAGGTCAGGAGCATCGGCCTTCGGGGAGAGAGCCCGCCAGGGCCCCGGGTGCACTTTCGAACTCTCAAGGGTTCTGACCGGCTACCGTCAAACAGCTCAAGCCCAGGTGAGGGTCTGTTGGATTCTCTAGTTTTTTACCTGGATTTTTAGTCTCTTATTTATAGCCCCAAGGCAATCAATGGTCTAGCTTAGAGGAATAAAAGGATGATTTAATTCACCGTAAGGCCAGAACGGAAGGAAAAGCAGGTGGGCAGGGAACCGGCTATAGACAGGCTAGTAATGAATCATTTGGGGGCAAGGCTTTTAGGCTTCCTATTACCCAATCTCATTTCACATCAGCTGCAGCCTGCCTGAGCCACCTCCTGTGTTTTGGTCTCTAACCACTTGTCCACCAATGGCTTTCTCTCAGAGAGGGGCTACCCTACAACTGCAGGGGCAACACTGTGGAGGGTCTCCCCAACTCTAATCCCTGGCATTTCCATCCTGCATATGTCTGCATAGATATAGTTCTCTAGCTGTTCCCCAGTAACCCCAAGTCTGTCTCCTCCCTTCTCAGGTGACATCACAGTGGAGGGTCTGGATGGAGAGCAACCACTGCAGACTGGGGAAGTGGTCATCATCGTGGTGGTGTTGCTCATGTGGGCTGGTGAGTAAGCAGCTGGATGGGGGACCAGGGACTGAGGAAGTGGGACTCGGTGAAGATGGGAGGTGGCGAAAGTTGTCAGGAGAAACAAGAGTGACCAAAACGGAGTGAGGAGATGCTTAGTTGAGGGGGAATGATTAGGAGAAGTTTGAAGAAAGGGAAAGAAGGCTTTTGGGAGCCCAAAGAGGAAAATTGCATGGGCACCACGAATCCAAGAATTTTTTTCTTGGATTTTCTAGAAGCCGTGTGGGTATCTCACTGCCCTCCAAGGCTGTGAGTGGGAGGTCAAGATCGAAGCTCAGATTATATTGTTGTGTTTCAGCTGTGATTGGGCTGTTCTGCCGTCAGTATGACATCATCAAGGACAATGACTCTAACAACAACCCCAAGGAGAAGGGCAAGGGGCCGGAACAGAGTCCTCAGGGAAGGCCAGTGGGGACAAGACAGGTGATGTGGGGGCCAGTAAGGGTGGGAAGGGTGATTTTGCCCCTGAGGGGCAGCCAGAGAAAGGAAGATGACCAAAGAGGGGCAGGGAAAGAGAGAGAATGGAAGATGTGGGATGCAGGAGGCTGGAAAGGGTGGCACCTATTACCTTCCTGAAATTAGAGACTCAAACCAGTTTCTTTCATAGAAAAAGTCACCATCCATCAATACCATCGACGTTTGAGTGAAGAAACAGAACCAGAAGAGAGATGAACTAACAACCTGGGGATGGGGACAGGGTCAGGGAGAGCCTAAGATGGTGATCTGCCCAAGCAGAAGGATCCCACTTCCTCCCATAGGGTGATGACCCTCCCACAATCTCAGGCCTGGTACCCATCCTCTTTCCACTGTGAGCAGGGCCAGAAGGTAGGTCCGTTAGAGTCTGTGCCCCTGGACCTGGGGAGTACATATCAGATGGGATATCTCCTCCCATCTCCCAGGTCCAGGGGAGGGACACTTGTTCAACCCTATCCCATTAGGTCCCAAATGAGGGCCCCAATTCACCTGCATCAGGACTCTTGGCATCCCCAGCTGCCCCCACATCTTGCCTTTGGGTCTCAGAGAAGGGTGTTTCTGTGGGTACTCCCCCTCCCCCAGCAAATAAAAGGAATCATCTGGGCCTAGAGGCAGATGCTGCACTGCACTACTCCAATGTCTTCCATGGAGCCTCAGGTGCTCCCCCTCTCACCTGGTGGCCCCTCCAGCTGCTGGTGATCTCACCCCTTGGACATTTTTCCAATAAAGATTCTTGGACAAACTGGAGCTGACTGTATGGTATACTGTATAGTATGCTGAAGACATTTCCCCACTTTGTCTCTCTCCTGGCTCTCCAAGGGCACCTCATACCACCACCAGCATGACAGCAGACTCTCAGTGTAAGGTGTTTGCTTCTATTCTCCAGACCAGAATGGGTGGAGAGGGATCAGGAAGAAAGGGCATAGAGAACTAGAGCCCTAGTTTCTTTTGCTTTGTTGAGTGAGAAGGGAGAAAAAGAAAAGGAAATAAAAGATATATGAGGGTACTTCAAAAAGTTCATGAAAAATAGAATTAAAAGATAATATGAATCCTTCCACAAACTTTTTGAAGTACTTTTGTAAGTTCTTCCTACACAAGTGGAAACTAAGTTATGTCACATGGGCCAGTAACCCTTTTATCTTCACTGCTCACATCAATGGCCCAGCTCCTCAACATTTATTCTTCTGACTCCTCCATCAACCCTGAGCTAATGGTCAGAAAAGGACTGAGCAGTGTCTTGGGGACTAATGAAAGAACAGCTACAATAATGGATCCCTCAATGCCACTTGCGTCCATCCTGGGCAGTCCTGTGCCTTACTCTTCCCTCCGTGGCTTTCCCATTCATCTCTGTCTCTGTCTCTTTCAGTAAGTGAAGGTCAATAATATTTATAAAAGGTAAATGAGTTTATATTCATGCTTTGCCACCATGTCCAGAGGAGGATTCTGTAAATAAAATTGAGGGTTGGAGCTGCCCTGTCAAAAGAATTATAATTTAGACTTTAGGGCTTACTTGTTTCCTGTGAAAATAGGGGCTGTCCCCCATTCTTTCCTCATTTCCAAGGGCAGGTTAGTGGCAGTGAGAGAAATATCTGTTGACATTTGCAACCACTGTGGGGGAAAGGCTGCCGGATCCAGAGTCTCTCTGGAGAGCATATGCTACACTTGCTGGAGGGTTACAAGTCCCAACATCAGATATTTCCAGAGGAGGCTTATGAATAACTCATTTTCTGTATTTCAATCTCTCTGATATGTTACAAGAAATTAGACCAAAAACTTCTGAAAGGGACCCTGATCCAAACAAAAATCAAGAATTCAATATCTTTTTTACTTAACCAAGCTCCAACCCCAGGTTATCACAAGACTTAATCTTAACCTGTCAGTTCAGCCAAGCTCTGGTTTGCCCTCTGCCCTGAGCTATAAAAGCATCCTGATCTAAGTGGCCGTCTCTAACCCACCATTACCCAATTCGGAATTAGGGTACCTTACCTTTCCCTGGCTGCTGGTTCCAGAACATTCAACTCTCAGACTCCGGAAACATCATTTCTTGGGATGAGAGCGTCACAAGGTATAGAGAGTGAGCTAAGAGTTGAGAAGGAACATAAAGAGTGTTTAAATCTGCCAGCTCTGGGTTGAATCACGGTTCCGTCCTTTACTGGCTGTGTTAGCTTGGGCAAGTGACCCCTCTAATCCTGAATCTCCTATTATGTAAAATGGAACTAATAATAAGGCCATCCCATTCAAAAGGTGGTTATGAGATTAAATGACCTGATAATGCATGTACACCACTTTGCACAGTACCTGCCAGACACATACTGAGATCCCGTGCAAGTCAGATAACCTATTTAGGTGCAATTCTGTCAACTGCAAAAGCCCTGCCATAGCAACTGCCCTGCTTTCCCCCAGGGTTGTGAGGATTAAAAAAGAATGCACTCGGCCACGCTTCTGTACATCAAAGAGCGAGAAGACTACGATTACCATAACGAGGACGATTACGTAGGACCCGGAGTTTGCCGAAGGCTGGTGGGCGGGGCTTGGTTTTAGGTTTGCATGCAGCGACAGGATTGGCCGAGGAGAGGATTCCTCAAACCCTTTCGAGGTCCCGCCCTAGGTCTCACTGCGCTTGCGCACGTCCTGTTCGCTTTGTCGCGGACGGATGTGGTGACCTTGCGTCGTGGGTTGCGCTCCGTCAGCTTTTGTAGCTGCGGCTGCGTGAAGGGTTGTCCAGGTAACCACCGGAGTTGTCGCTGTCTTGGTAGCACCTGAGCGACAGCTGTGCGTCATGCAGTTGAAGCACCTGAGGACCTTGCTGAGCCCTCAGGTGAGGAGTTGCGTGCCTCTTCCCTCCCCCGCCCGCCTTACGTTCCAAGAAAAGTGGGGGCCCTGCAGTTTAATAATGTTGAGCGCCCACTGTGTGCAGAAGACTGTAAAGGATCTAGCCACGCTCCGGACTCTGCTCCCTCAGTAGTGTTCAGCAGGCGAGCTGGACCGCTGAGGGCTGTAGCTGTCATTACATTTCGTTACCATCAGTTGTGTACCAGGCCCCGTGCTGGGGCTCTAGGAAATCCAAAGTCACCCGGCTTACTGCCTCTGCCTTCAAGAGACTCATGGCAAAGGGTGGGGCGCACATGTAAAATGCGAACATAAGTCTACACAGAAGTAAGTGCTTTCGGTGCAGGCCTAAAGAGGGGACTTAGGAGACCAGAATTTAAGTCCTAGCTGCACCACTACCTTAACTAAATGATGTCTCTGGCTGTAGCCCTTATCACACTTCTCTTTGAGCATTCACCATCTTCTTCGTTTGGAAAATGGGGGTACTGATAGCAACCTTAGGCGATTTGGGGGAGAGTTAAATGAAGTAAATGCACAGAAGAGTATTATAGACTGAAAAAGGAGCATGAAATGAAGTAATATGCACAGAAGAGCATTATAGACTGAAAAAGCAGCGTAAAAATGGATAGACGAGGGAAGAACATTCAAAATTCAAAGGACAGAATAATACAAAGCTGATAGGAGTAGTATGTTCCTTAACTCACTGCTTAATGTGTACCAGGGCAGCATAACTAAAGGTTAGGATTGTGGTTTATGGAGTCAAACATATATGAATTTAAATCTTGGTACAGCCATTTACAAACTGTGTATGTAAGGTTGGGCTAATTACTTAACCTTTTTGTGCTTCCATTCTGTAGAAGGGATAATAACAGTGCCTACCTCAGAGTTATGAGGCAAAATGAGATCATGGATGTCAGGCACTTATCAAAATGCCTAGTGTGTGGTAAGTGCTTGGTAAAGGTTAGCTAGTATTATTCTATCCTCTGTAGAAGGGATAATAACAGTGCCTACCTCAGAGTTATGAGGCAAAATGAGATCATGGATTTCAAGCACTTATCAAAATGCCTAGTGTGTGGTAAGTGCTTGGTAAAGGTTAGCTAGTATTATTATATCACCTATTTCATGTAATCCTCACTACAGTCTAGTGAGGTACATGTTGTAGAGAAAGGAGAATTCATTGATTACGGAAATCATGAAGGCTTCACAGAGGATGTGGCATTTGGAGAAGAGAAGGAAATTAGAACAAAAGAGAGTTGTGCTCATTGCTCAGTAAGCTGCCCCCCAAATCTGTTGATTATTTATTTATTTTGCAACTAACTGGTAAGAATCTGTGATTTAAAAATATCTTTGCCCTGATGGAAAAATTGGAAGTGAAATCCATCCTTCATAAGCTGCCCCCCAAATCTGTTGATTATTTATTTATTTTGCAACTAACTGGTAAGAATCTGTAATTTAAAAATATCTTTGCCCTGATGGAAAAATTGGAAGTGAAATCCATCCTTCCGTCTCCCAAAATAAAATTATGTCATGATGCAGGTAGGGCTGAATGCCCAGAACTGGGCAAAGGTTGATGAGGAGCCCTCAGCCCTTCTAATGTAATGAAGAGTTGGAGGATGGTAGTGGTGGTGGTGTGCCTACTTTCTGATCCTAGTTTGAGGATTTTGGTTGAAAAAAGGTTTTTTACTTCTGACTTTGGAGTAGGTGGTTTAGGAGTAAAAAGTGAAAGTGTTTTAAGCCAGAGCTCTAGAGTCCAAATAATTAATCAAAGAGTTGGAGCAGAAGCTAAATTTTTTTTTCTCTCAAGGAGGGAAACCTTTAGTGGCAGAACCATAGAAGACCAGAACTAGTGGTGAAGGGACAGACATGATAAGAGTCATTCACTGGGTCATATTACTTCTAACTTGGGCTTCTGTGAAGTGGATAGTTAAGGGTGAAAAAATGGAATTGTTCTTCCTAAGTCTGAGCTGTAATTATCTTACTCTCCATTCCAGAACTTGCAGTGTTTCCCCCTCACCGGCCAAAGAAGCCCAAACTCCTTAGCCTGGCTTCAAAGAATCTTCCTGAGCTGGCCCCAGTCTGTTTTTCCTGCCTTACCTCCTCTGTTCTGTTTACAAAGTAGTTTCAGCTAAATTAAACTACTGTTTTTTAACAGAACTTGCCTTCATTCATGCCATTCCTTCCATCTCAGATAATTTTCCACTCAGCTGCATCCATTCTTCAAAGTGTAATTCTGATCATTTAAACATAAAATGATCTCAAGCTTCTCCAAACTGTTACAGCTCTCTGTACATACTTCTCTTATTGGACTTTTCTTGTTTTGTACCATTTTATTAGATCCAGGGACAGGATCTGTGTTTTGCCCTTTGTCTCTCTATCAGCCCCTGGCCAAGTGCCTTTCTCAGTAAGTTGTGCAAAAAATATTAATTGAGTGAATGGCTAAAGACCAAAACTTATCGGGCCAATTGAATTTATTTCAGTAACAGTCCTGGGATATGAAGGAACAAGGAGGCCATTGCAGGGGTACATTAGTACAGTTGATTTAGAATGTCACCTCTTAGTATGTTTGTGTTATGAGTCTCTAGAAGCACATTGTTCTTACAGTCCAGGATCTGATGGCCTTGGAGACCAGGATGGGCCACAGGCATCGCTTTGTTTTAAGGATAAGATTATGACAGGAAGAAAATTGACCAAACTCGCACTAGAAGTAATGGAACTAGAAATGTGTTTGGCATTCTAGACCAGAACTTGGGTTTATTTTACCCCTTTGCCTCTGCAGGATGGAGCTGCAAAGGTGACCTGTATGGCTTGGTCCCAGAACAATGCCAAATTTGCTGTCTGCACAGTGGACCGAGTGGTATTGTTGTACGATGAACATGGAGAGCGGAGAGATAAATTCTCCACCAAACCATCTGACATGA